AAGGGGGAAGAGGGAAGGCCTTTTTTTTCTTTTTTCTTTTTTTTTTTTTTTTTTTTTTTCTTTTTTGTGAAAAAAGAGAAGTCCGCAGAGAGGGGAGCTGGAGATCTGAATATTGTCTGTACGCTACATGGGCCGGGTTAATCGTTGCTTTAAATACTTCTTGACAGATAAAGAAAATCACCTCTTGCTCTTCCCCTCCAAGCGGATCATTTTACAATTCATCTAGAAGCTACAGACGCTCCCTATAAATGCGAGGAAGCTTACATGGGGTTTCTGGCTCGAGTTGGAAGTGGCGGGCCGCGGGTTCCTATGCTCGCCTTCACCCATGGCCCGATCGAACATATGTCAACATCACCAACGAGGCAACTGCAGCCTGGAGCTGTCCATCTGCCAATATGTTCACATTCATCAACGCAGGAACTATCCCAGAAAGGCCTTGTCTCATCGCGCCCTACTTCCCTTCTGGAATAGGGTCATGATATCACGTCGAGAAGCCAACTATGTCTTGTTAGGTAGGCAGTAGAGAACATAACATTACTAGATCTCGCCTACTCGTTAAGTGCCCAGGTGGTTATCCACCAACATTGGTCGCGGTATCCATGTTGGTTCATTGTTGCGTGAAGCTCCCCGCTCCTGCTTGTCAACTGGACCCGTCTTTCCTGCCTACCCATCAACTGACGCGGCCATCTGACACCAGGTACGCTGGCCCGTTACACATCTCTGTGGGCGCAATGGCGACGAGTGTCTACACAATATCTCTCCTGCCCGTACCCTCCATCCGCCGGCGACTTCAGCCGAAATAACAAAAAGCTTGTTTGCGCAATCTTCGGTAGCGGAATTGCTCAGTTGACGAACGGCTCTGGTAGCTTTGGCGAGAGCATCCTGAATAGCTGTGGAACAGGGATGGCAAATAACCTGGGGCCCCAGCAATGGGCCACCACAAGTGAGCGCAGCAACCCGCGACATTTCCTGGCAGCCCTTTTCAATCTCGTTGGCTACCTCCCACGAATTTGCTCCGCCATGGTATGTCAGCGCCAACTTGTAGTATATTGGGACGACATTCAATCGCTTTGCTTCTTCAGACAGTGCCGGCCAGTCGAGCTCCACATGGTTCGACAAGGGGAAGTTGAGGCGAGTGTACTTTGGCGGAGAGTCGTCCGAACTGTCCTGCACTTTGTCGTCATGGGGCAGAATCAGCCCGACCCTGCGATCCGTGGTTATGGCATCGACATCTGCCAGATCCGTCTGTGTTGCTCTGTGAGTGAACTGTGGTTTTGTTTGCATCGTGCTGCAAGTAATGCTAGGCTCCATTTGCGTTGCTCCGGGAATGAGCTGAGGGGTGGTCTGAGTGCCAGCATCCGTAGACTTTGCCCGAGTCTTTGAAAGACCTTTTCTATAAGAAGTCCAGAATCTGAGTCGCATTTTCGTCGTCGAGGTTTGGTCCGAGTATAGGTTTCCGATGTTGAAGCGAGAGGAGAGGGGGATGGCTTGGATGAAAAGAAATTTGGTGGCAAACAATCGCCTTTTAGACAAACAAAAAAAGCTCAAATTCCCTCCAGGGTCAATGTACCGTTGCTCGGCAGATGTGGTTCTCGACTCACTCACATTGCACATCCATGGTTCACCTGAGCATGTAAACCAAAGATTCTATGTGTCTTTTTCTTTTCTTTTGCAAGATGCTCAGCAGATCAGTAAGAAAGGAGAAACTCATTCAACCCTATTCATCTTCTTTGCCTTAAACGAAGCGGGTGACAACTCAGAACAGTGGACATGTATCAAAGCTTTTCTTGTGTATACCTCAGTTCACTTGTCACCGACCACGGTCGTGTAGTAGAATCACGACTCTATTTTCACCTTCCCTGACCACCAGTTTACTAATAATGCTGATATATTCCAGACAGTTGTCTTAGTCCCACACTGTCAGCACCAAGTTCATCTTCTGGCTACGTGTCCACCAAGAGCGCCATCGAGGGTTTTCCACGCGGCCTCGACCTCCCTGGGTATGTCCACATGCGCGATGAAACCCTTTCCTTTCGGTCCGTACCCACCACTATCGTCCCTTAACCGAGGGATCTCTCCCATGATCAGGTCCAAGAACCGCGGCATGCCCCACAGCTCCGATTCGCTAACCCTCATCTTGGCGACATCGTACCTGAGCAGCTCGGCAAGGGTCCTATGGCCCGGATGTGCGAGCAGGTTTGCTGCTTCGGGGCGTAAAAGTACGGAGGGCACCAAAGTCGGCCAGCTGTACAGCTCCGGGCGGGCGTCTACCTTGTCCGAGTACACGTGTTCAAAAGAAGCCACAGTGCGCCTGCACATGGTCGGGTCTTGCGCAACGATGATCGTCCTCGGTTCCGCGATGCCGCGAGACTGCAGCACCTCCCGCGTCCTCGACGCGTTTGCGCCGCAGTTGGTGGACTTGTCCTCGACGAGGATAGCTGTGGCACCTAGCTCGGTGTTTTCTGCGTCGACTTTTAAGCCAAAGTACTGCTCCGCGATGGCCTGCAGGACGCGAGCCTCCGGCTGGCCAGCCACCTGCTCTGCCAAGGACCGATATGTGGGATGGGAGGCGACGGCATCGTGCATCAGTTGCGTAGAATGTCCAATCCCGCCGCACAGAACCAGAACACAGCGGCCATCATCAGTCTTCCTATTGTCTTGGGCTGTATGGGGAGACAGTACGTCAAAGTATCAGCGATGACAAGCTTTCAGCCTCATGTGGATCCGCGTCGATCTTACCTCTGGAATGGGCATATCTCGCGAACGCCGAGAACACGGTTTCGGCAGTGGAGAGCACAGCAGATGCACAAAGCACGACCACGTCCGTCTGGGGAGGCGCGTTTTGAAGTTTATCAGTCCTTTCAGCGGCCGCCGAGGGCTGGCGATCCAGGAGCTGTCGGAGATCGCGGACTTGCTCAAAGGCCAGGAATGAGGCCAGCGTGTTGACCGCCTCCTCAAGAGCTGGCTGTCCCATGGCGGAAGACCCGTATCGTCGGAGACCCTCGCGAGCGCTTTGCAGGTAGATGTGTGGTCTCAACTGCCCCTTTCATTCGATCTTTCACCCCGTTATGGATCACAAGGCGAGCTGGCATCATCCCAACGAAAAAGCAATGGTTGACGAGGGTGGGGCGTGAGAGAATGCCTACTTTGTACGAAGTGTCGCTGACTGTTGATAGCGCAGATGTAGAGGATGCGCTAAAAGTGCTAGGGAAATACACGGCTGCTTAACTTTGATAGCATCTTGAGCCAAATCCACGGATATGAAGCATTTGACGCTTTTTCTGGGAAAGTTAAATGACTGCATTATAAGAACTTTACTAGAGCTTGGCTGAGAAGGTATCCGATGAAGTCTTGCTGGCCCCGGTCACAACATGACATTAGACACCAGTTGTCCGGGGTCCTTCCCACACTTGGTGCAGCAAAGGACCCAGAGCATCCGCCATAATCAAAAGATTCAACGAAGTTTTGGGTCACCATGAAGAATCTGTGGCATAGATGAGCTTATAATTCAACCCCTGTAGAGAGGCTTCACGTTGTCGTCGCACACACGGGAAATCCGGGGACCCGACAAGGTGGATCCGCCCCGGAGAACCTTAGCCGGAGGAAATCTGCCAACATCGTCCATCCCCGCAGGCCGAGGCCGCGTGGTGGATAGCTCTGCTCATGCAGAACTGACGCCCCTGCAGACGATTTCCGGGGGGCTCGGGAGGGAAGCCTGTGCACACCATTGCCTACTAAGGGGAAAGCTCAGCTGGAAATTTGACCAGTATCCCTCCACCCTCGAGACCATCTATGACTCGGGAAACAGAGAACAAGGGTCCATCCTCCTGTCATGCCGGGAAGCTACCTGCCATGAAGCTAAAAGCTCCCCCCGCAAAACAGGATGTATGCGGTCCGCGAGACCTGGCACCCATTCCTCGGGAGTGTTGCACATAGATAACCATTTTCCCCTTCCTTCTCTCTGTTTGCTCCTGGTTGTCCATCAAGCCTTCGCATTGCACTTGACCAAAATCACAGCCAGAAAGAAACGAGGAGGAACGTGTAGGACAAGAAAGAGTGCACAATGGGTGTCCTCAGCGACAAGCCGCAGTACTACCAGCCCTCGGACAAGCCGGGCCCCAAGAACGGGCACCACTCGGAGCCGCACCCGCAGTATGCCTCCGTCTTCCTGCCCATGAAGGAGCAGGCCGCGCCGCTCTGGGCCAACGGCACCGTCGAGATGATCAAGCAGGTCTTCCGCGAGGCGCCGCCCGCCATCCCCGAGGGCTGCCCGGAGCCCGACAGGGACATCAAGATTCAGTACACCAAGGCGCCCGCGCGCGACGGCGCCCTGCTCGAGCTCAAGGTGTACCAGAGCGTCAGCGTGCAGAGCAACGCGGCGCTCGTGTTCCGCATGCACGGCGGCGGCTGGACCGTCGGCGGCCACGAGATCGAGGAGGCGGAGAACAGGTTCATTGCCGGGCTGGGCAACGTCGTTGTTATTAGTGTGGACTACAGGATGTGAGTTGTCTCGCAGAGAGCTGCAGAAGCGGAGATTTTGGTCGCAGAGGGCTATGAGCTAATGTGGACGGAATTAGGGCCCCCGAGTTCCCTTTCCCTTACGCCCTGAACGACAGCTACGACGTCCTGCTATGGGTATGTTCAGAGGCAGAAGAAATGATCCAGGGCGATATATCTAACAAGAATGCAATGACAGCTGAAGCGCAACCCCGGCCGCTTCAACATCAACAGCGAAAAGATCATCCTTGTCGGTAGCAGCGCTGGCGCCAATCTGGTACGCATGGCCCTCCCACCTCACCTGGGACCCCCCCGAAGACTAACCCACAAGCGCAGGCAAGCATCGTCGCCATCAAGGCGCGAGACGAGGGCGTCACCGGCATCGTCGGCCAGGTGCTCTCCATCCCCGTCACCTGCCACCCCAAGTTCTTCGACCAGGTGCCCAACAAGGAGCGCTACGAGCTGCTCAGCTACGCCCAGAACCACGACGCGGCCCTGGTCGACTCCCCGGCGATGGAGTGGTTCTGGGACTGCTACGTGGGCAAGAATCCGAGCCCGGACCCCATGCACTCCCCGCTGCTGTCGACCAACCTCCGGGGTCTGCCGCCAGCGAGTAAGTTGTCTTTTTTTGCTCCTCCCGTGCCTGCTATTACTATCCAGTGCCCAGAGGTTCTAATCGAGATATCAGTCGTGCTTGTTGCTGGGAAAGATCCTCTACGGGACGAGGGCATCGCCTACGGCGAGGCGCTCAAGGCGGCGGGCGTGCCGACGGAGCTGCGGGTGTACTCTGGTCTCCCGCACGGCTGGCACATGGGCTTCTCGCTGAAGGAGTCCAAGGACTACTACGACAGGGTGCTGGCATTCATCAAGGAGCGTGTGGCCAACGGCCGCAGCTCAAAGCTGTAAACATCTGTCTTTCTATGGCGACCAGACCTGAACACGAGTGTGGCAGGGATGACAAATATGGCCGCTTCGGACGCCTGAAATGATGCACGCAGCTTAGTAGATTTAAAGAGTTGCCACGATGTCAACGTATACAGGTTGATAGTGTGGTGTCCATTCGCATAGCGCACAATGAACAATAAAATACTTCGTCCACACTTTGCTTTTTTGAACCCCCTTCATAATTTCCTACCCGAACCCGCTCTGAACACCTTTTGCAGAATCGATCCAACTATCAAAACAAATGATACGCATCGATAGCCAAGTCAAACGAAGCGTCGATCTGCGAGGCGAGCACGCCGGCCGCGCCCCTCAGGCCCTCGGGCACCTTCTCCGTGATGGCGGCGCTCAGGCAGTCGGTCGCGTCCTTCTCGAGCTTGAGGTTGCCCAGGATGACGGGGCTCAGCAGCGCGCGGTCGAACCGGGGCCGGGCGGCGATGAGCGCCGTCAGCGTGGCGTTGACGTCCCCCGCGAGCTGGCTGACCGTGCCCGCGACGGTGAAGGCCTCGATGTCGTTGAGCGGGTCGGAGCGCTTGGCGACGCCCGTGGCCGAGGCGATGTCGGCCAGCAGCTCGACCGACTGCGCGACGATGGGGCCCGTCGCCAGCAGCCCGCCGTCCCAGGACTTGACGGCCTCGCCGAGCTGGACCGTGTCGGCGGCCACCTTGTCCAGGGCGGCGACGATGGCGGCGCCGTCGGCGAGCACGGAGGCGGCCAGGAGGCCGGCGGTGGCGAGGACCTTGGCAAAGAGCATCGTAGGTCGTTTGATACCGTGGTTGTGGCTGGGGTCTGGTGCGTGTTTGATAGGAGAGCACCGGCGTCTGGTTCCCAGGTGAACACTGAATTGTCTAGACTGCTGCGTATTGCCTTGGTGACTGGCTGCGAACCGAATGCAACTTGGAGATCGAGACAGGTCCCAGTTTATATCCATCATCCTGGGGAGCGCGGGGCCCCGGACAGATCCCCCCATCGTCAACTCGGCTCGTGTCCATGTCTCGTTTCAATTTGGCATATGAAAGTTACATCCTTACTTACCCCGCGGCAACGCCCTCTAGAAGAGTCGTTATTCCAGCTTTTCCCGCTGTTTGCAAGGACATCCCCGGCCGCATCGTTGCTGTCGATCAGCTGAACGGCATATCCCTTCCCGAAGCGGCAGGTAGGCCTAGCTCGCCCCTTGGGAAATTCATGGGGACGAGGATCCGAAAACCCAACGGTGCTCCGCGCTTGACGGACTAGGAGATGGCTGCCAGAGCGGACAGAGATATGATTGGTGGGTGGTTTAGACACCAACGACAAATGGTGGAGAGTGCCGCGGCTTTTTGCACGATCATGAGCTTGATTGTGCCTGCTTGGCACAAAAGGCATGTGAAGGTCCGGAGTCTTGCTACCAAGTACCCTCTTTGGGTCGACGCAAAGACCGCGCGGTATTCAAATCTGATGACAGTTTCTTAGATCCCAGAATCCCGAATTGGCCTTTAATGATGACGACATCGCTCGTTTTGGATTGATTTCGCTGTTGTGTTGGCCGGCAGCTTGCGCGAGACATGAGAGACACGGGCAAGTGGGTGTCTAAATAGTTGACGGAAGTTCATCAGGAGCTACCTTGCCCTAGAACTCGGAAGGGCTATCCCACTACCTAAATCCGATGGGCTTGATGGATAGTCAAGTACTTCTGTTAGCAGTCCGTCAACTAATCTGACCATCACTTGCACGGGTTGAGAGTGTCGCGCCACACACGCGCAACTTAAAAAAGAAGGCTCCCTTCCAAGTGCATATGAGACGAGCGGCCGGCAACGGGGGGTCTCATACAAAGTGCGGCTCTGTCTTAAAGCTGTCTTGTCCCGCTCGCCGTTGTTCCATCTTCTTGCCAATTTCCGGCTTCCTTTACTCTCATACCTTTTTTCACAATGTTCCCGCCATCGGTCACTTCTCTAAGATTATATTACTTTTTTTTTTATCCAACTACCAAACATTCTGCCTACCATGAATGTTGTGTAGAGTTGCTTGAGTGTTATCCCTCTTGAACCGGATCTGTGAGGTGAGCATTGAAGAAGGCGAGGAAAAGTGACTGACTGGTCAAATTGGCCGCCGTCAGCCCAAGCTATCCGATTCATTGTCCAGCTGGTGATGTGTAAGTCCGTGGCCACGAACTGACGTTGCTGGAAATTTTGGCAGTTGCCCTTTCGGCTTGCGCATTCGCGCTTCGTCATTGCAGTGCTTGAAACTCATGGATCCCCAGAGCCTATCGAGGTAATAAGAGAGGTCGAGGCCTCGGCATCAGACTTCGTCAGCTCCATCATGGAACGCCTGTGGACTTCTCAGGTCTCCAGAGCTGGTTATTGGATAGCGAAGTATGTCGTTGACATGCCTTTTGAGGCCGACTGTGCGGTGTGGGACAGACACAGACAACCTATACCTTGGCTTGATTGACCCGGGCCCTGTCCAGCACCTACTTTGGCGCAGTTCTTAAATCCGATGCCTCTTCAGCTTCGCCAATGATACACAGCAATTCATTGAGCTCTTCGCTCTGTTCTGTGTGACCTCTTGGTTTCATAGTATGTCTCTTTGGCAAGGACATGATTGTGTAATCATGCCCAGCCCAACTCTCCAAAATGCAAGAGACGCATTTTCTCTTGGCACGTCTCATCCATATCATTGCATATGGGATTGCCAGACTGCTTCTTTCTCGTGGAAAGCTTTGACTGATTGTATTACTTGGGCTCTTCTACCCCTTTATAGTAACATGGGTAAGCAACGGACTGCATGTAAGATAGAGGGTGTGACAGTGTTCGGTCAACATGGTCAACATATGACAGACGAGGCTATGTGCCGAAACAACGGCAGACAGGATCAATACCTATGGACAAAATAATGATTTGTATTTCTATTGACGGGGTATCCAACAAAGTACCAAAATCCATGGACCACTAATTAAGTATATCTCGGTCGCAGACTGGAGTTCTTGAACCAGACTCAGCAGCAAACACCGTTTTCGCCAGAACCAAGCATTGCATAACAAGACGACGGCGGTTCAACGTCAGTGACGAAACGACCTTGTTGACCGCCAACGCCTTGCCCTCACGGTCACAGTCACGGTCATGCAGCGCCCCCCACGTGCTGCTGGCCTTGAACCGGCGACGGAGTAGAGTATGGCACGGGCTGCTGGTGCACGGGCGCCGGGGCGTAGTAGCTCGTGTGCGCGTCGTAGTACGGTTGCGTTGGTTGCTGCTGCTGCTGCTGCATCATGGCCTGTGCCTGGTTGGGCGTGTATGCGTTGGGGGGAACCTGGACGTAGGACGTGGTGGTCGCAGGCATCTGGCCCATGGCGACGTAGGCGGCCGGGACGAGCATGACGGTCGGGGTGGCCTTGTTCCTCCTGTTGCACTCGACACAGGCGCGCACGAAGAGGGTGAAGTGGAGGAGCCTAAACACAGAGTTGCGTCAGTCAAAATTGGGTGTTGTTGCCTCCTCTCGACCACTATCAACGGAACGTACAAGAGGAGGGCCATGAATGCGACGAGGGCCTTGTAGAGCATGTAGATAGAAGAGTAGCGGCTGCCGGATGAGTAGTAGTCGTCGTAGTAGCTGTTGTAGTAGTAGTAGTCCTCGAAGTAGATGACGGCCGACATCAGGCCGACCGAGGCCGCGGCGCCCAGCCAGATGACGAGGTGCATGCCGACGTGGGCGCCCGGGTGGATGCCGCGCTGCTTCTGCACGCACAGGGTGATGAACTCGGCGACCTGCCACAGGAAGGACACGATGGCGACGGGCAGGGTGAAGACCAGGCCGTAGTAGGGGCCATAGAAGTAGCTGGCGGCGATGCCGCCGGAGAGGCCAAAGACGACCACGTCGAAGGCGAGGATGAGGCAGCCCATGACGATCTTGGCGATGTAGAAGCCACGGCTCGACACGATCTTGTCGGCCCGGACGGGCATATAGAGCCGTTCCGGGCCGCCCTGCTGGGGAAGGCCCTGCTGAGGGAGCTTCTCTCCGGCGTGCACCGTTTCGGTGGTGGGTTGGGCGGCGGTCGACATGGTGCGCAAGACTCGAGAAGACAGAAGGGCGGACTTGCAGTCAGGAGGTGCAGAAGTGTCAGTCGACGGCCGAGCGCGTAGCAAGACCGCTCAACAACGACTGCGTCGCAAGGACGGGCACAATGCGAAGAGAGAAGGTGAATGAGTGGCAGCCGCTTTGAAACAAAGCCACAGAGAAAAGGAAAGACAGCCGTGAAATAAAAACGGCAAAGAAACGAAGGTGTGGTCGTGCTTGTGCGGGAAAGGGAGGTCGAGCAGGCAGAACTGAGTGGTGATCCACCGGCCGTGTGGAGATGGTGTACAAGTACTCCTCCGTACCTGGGTCCAGGGCTAACAACAGAAAAACTCGGACCTTAATCTTAATCAAAAGTAACCAAATGGGGCGCAGCTGCATGTCAAAGAAAAGGCGAGCCTGGTTCGCTCTGGCACAGGCACCGTTGCAGTTGCGCCAGCCGTTGATAGGCCCGTTTCCCCTCAAGCCCCTCCCGTCAGCGAGACCCAAGGGGCTGAGCTTTAGTGGGTTTTCTAGGCTTCCTCCAAAATCCTGGTCTTGGATGCCACCTGCTGCGGATCCACAGCACTGGGTACGAGGTTTGACAGCAAATAAGAAATAGGGCTGAGGGATACCCAGGCGCGTCAAGCACTTCGACATGTAAACTGCGGCATCTGTCGATGAGTACCGTTGAGAGCATGGATTGCTAGCCTTTCGAATCCCGAGCTAGAGCTTTGACTATCGACATTAAGCATATTGATTCGGCATTTTGCTAGTAGTCTCTGTGATGAAGGTGGTGCTGACAGCTTGAAATGGGTGTGCTGTGTCTTTGAGCGATGCCGAGACGCGTTCCACCGAGTACTGCACCCAACCGCATAACCGCGATCGACATTCGTCCACGAGACACTCTTGCAGGCTAGCTAGCAAGCAGAGGCCACTCAGCGAGATGCTTCTTCTTCAGCTCCGGCCTAGCGTCAACTCAAATCAGTGTAGCCCGTGCCATTCAGCACAGACAGTCGCAAGCTGAACAGACCTGCTCAAGAAGTCTGGCAGAAGTCAAAGGTACCTATGCCGAATCCAGGAATACCCTCCACCAGTTGTGAAACATGCTTTGGTGACGATGTCTGTTCAACCCTAGCTCGCCACCTTTTTCAAACGTGCCGACTCAACCCCGATGTTCGTCAGTCCGCCTCTACTCCCGCTGCAAGACCACCATCAAGCCCATCAGACCCAACATGACCGTCTTCAGCCAAGGGTGCTCGCTGAGCATGATAGTAACATAGCCCACGAACGGCACAAAGCCAACGACGCTGCCAATGATGGCCTTCCTCTCCAGAAAGTCCTGTCCGTGTGCGTACTGCAATCACATATATCCGTTAGCCAACATGTAGGTAGAGGTATCGCAGGATCGGGACGCACCAAGCTCGTATCGTCTGACGGGTTGTTGTCGCCTTTCGTGAGGATCTTCGCGTGCGGCCTGTGGAGAGACTAGTGTATTAGCCACCCAGCTGATACCAGCGCAGCAGACTCTCTGAGACATCGAGATGACCCTGGCCGGAAGACGTACCCTGTGCCAAACTTGCGGACGATCCTATGGACGATCGGGATGTCCTTGCCCTCCACATTGTAGACAACAATCTCGCCCACGTCTGTTTCCCTAAACAGATTCCTGTTCCAGAGCGCCAGGAGGTCTCCTCGCTGGAAAGCCGGCTCCATGGACCCTGACAGGACGACGACAATCGGGGACGGCGAGTCGGCGATTACCGAAAGGCCTTTCCACATCTGCGACGGCGCACCACTGTTAGCCTGTGTGCATTCTGCCACCAGGGTGCAGCAGAAATCGTACCATGAACGCCGTGGAGAGAATGAGAGCAAAGTTGAGCAGCTGCGCGGCAGCTTGCCGGGGGTTCTGCATGCCGGACAGCATTTTGTCGAGCAGCAAAGGTGTCCCGAGGTCGCAAAGCGGATTGGGGTCGACTGGGGCTGGCGTTGGGAGCTCGTTCTCTCTGGATTATTTCGTGGATCGGTCGTTCGGTCTCCGCAAACGCCTCCTTTTAGGGCTCAATCGTGGGGGGATGATGTGTTGAAGGGCGCCGAGCTGGGGAGGGTTGGGTGAACGCCGTATCCTTGGGGATGTGGGATTTGTGGTTGGACTCGCGATGACAGCTTACCACAATTTGCCGTTGCAATTGGTCAGGGAGGTACCCACCTCGCACTCCAGTGCACGGGCCACAACATCTTACAACATCACAACATCTGCGAGCCAGGTTGGCAAAAAGTACAAAGAGAGTCATACAACACTCCAAAAAAAAACAAAAAAAACAATACAATCTCGCAAAAGATGAATCTCTGGTCACGGTGAGGATTGAACTCACATCCTTCAGATTATTAGACTGACGCGCTGACCAATTGCGCCACGCGACCTTTGTTGATGACGGGTTCAGGTCTACCACAACTCAAGAAGCTTGGCTAGGAGTCTAGGACCAGCAATACTTGACGTGCCAAGTTCGTCCCTTGATCAGATGTTTCAATGGTTCTATGGACAGGAAAATAAATTATGCGAGGTAATGAAAGGGGCTGGCTCTGTATTCTCGCGGCCAATTCAATCAGTGGTAGTGTCTGCTTCATATTTTGTGATTATTTGTTGCTGCAAGTTGACCAGTCACTTCAAGTAGTCAGACACAACAGAGCAACAACACTAGACATTGTGTAGAAAGAGCTGTCAACCCTACCCTTCTACCGAAGAAAGTTCTTGATTTCTCTGACTGAACGGAAGCTACAGGCTTCATAGAATGGTCCACGCCAACGGTGAGGTGCGACTTCTTTGCCTTTTTGTTCGAGTTCGAGTTCGCCCCTTCTCCCGCACGCTCGTCTTGCAAATGTAGAAGGAGCAGAGGTAAAGAACGGGTAGATTGGAACCGCCTACAGCAGTCTCCAAGCTCTTAGTTTTCTTTCGTTCTTGATGTTATGTCATATTGCTCTTTTGGTCTACCTTGGTGCTTGGTCCTCATCGCAGCACCTGTAGGAGTATCTACACATGCACCGCCGTCCTTTGGACAAGAATAACAAATCGATAATCAGTTGAATAACCTTCCCTACTACCTACGAGGTCACTTACACAATGAGTGAGCGCGCTCCTCTTCTCGACCGTGATGGTCTACCTCTCCCGCGTGGCGCTCTTCATGATCACGTAAGATCTCTCTGGGGATGGAGTTGAGCAACATCTAACACTATAGCAGCCTATCTTCCTACGAGTCTGCCATTCCCCGTGGAGATTCATCAACCAGAACACCCTCTGCTATCTCCGTGGCATCATCCTCGTTTACTTGCTAGCCGTCATGGGCATGCTCATCGACTTCAAGGTCAACCGCGAGGACAAGCACTCGGGCTGGCGTATGATATTCGAGTTCGACACCATCACCTTCGGTCTAATAGTCCTCTACCACATCATGGCCTTCTCTTGGACGCTGACCCATCTGCACTGGCCCCATATCGACGAGAGCGACCAGACGTGGGAGTCCCGGATCCTGCGGGCCATGTCGCCTCCCGAGCAGCCGAGCTACTCGCGGCGCCGCTTCTACTTCAGCCTTTTCTACTCGCTGGTTCACGTCTACAGTTTCATGGTCACTCTCATCTACTGGGCGGTGCTCGTTCCCCAGGGCCACGGCCATTTGCCCAAACACGACGGAGAACCCCCCAAGGTTGGCCATAACTTCTGTAGGATCATGCCCGTTGCTGAGCATCACGAACGGCATCATGACTGACATGAACCACAGTGGACCACCTGTTCTCCGAGGGATGGTTCAAGCCCTTCTGCCTCTACAACCTGTATACAATGCCGTCCATCCTCGCAGTGTTTGAGATTCTGTTCCTGAATAGCATCAAGCGCCAAGTCGTAAGTCTGTTCCTGCCTGAATCATGCGATTTGCCTGATGGCCCAATATGTTGGCAGTGACTAACCACCCGTCGTAGCCCGTCCCGAGCCACGTCTTCGCAATCCAGTTCCTGGCTGGCTTGTACCTCGGTTGGGCCGCGATCGGCAAGATGCTCACTGGGTACAACCCCTTCTTCTGGATGGGCCACAAGGGGTCCGGGTCCCGAGAGATCGTTGCTGCCTACTGCGTTGGGTTTGTTGCGCTGGCACCTGGTGCCTTCTCCTTCATGTACGGCCTAATCGGCATGCGCGACGCCATTGTGGAGAGGGGAACCGAGCCGGAGGACATTGCTGCTGGTCTCAGGGAGGAGCATGGGCAGCAAGCCCGCCGTTGATGGGACTGTCTGCTGCGTTGTCGTCGGGTCGGGCCCAGCTCCGGAGCTTGGCGGCGGATGGCGACTCGGGTCCGGGACGTGTTCCCATAGGCTGACAAGAGCCAGGTATAGATTGTGGTATCATTCCGTTTTGGGCTCGTTCCTCCTTTTGGAAAGCATGAATATGGATGCGGTTGGGCACGGAAGGTCGAGTATTGGGGGAGTCAGTCAGTATCTCTAGATAGCCCAACATGGTACTGCCCTAGAACCTTCCATGGGGCATTACATTCACGTATTCGCGCGCCAAGTACGCTTCAAAGTGATTGGTCCATGGCCTGTTGCTGGTTTCTCCCATTTGGTATCGCATTTGACATCTTGGTACCTGATCGGGTTGAGATCACTGCTCTGGGCCTTTCTGAAAAGGCAGGCGGTATGTGTAACTGCTTCTTGTAACAATGACTGACGCCAGAATGGGCGGTTGATAATGCAATGTACACTCTTTGGTTGATTGGTCTACTTGGTGTATCTTGACGGCATGGCTTGCCCATGATGATTACGAATGCGGATGATGCCTGTGTTGGATCTTGGCGGTATACTGACTGACCTAGTCATATTCGCAATGGTGTGCAGTGGACTGTGGGTTCATGCAGACACCGTGCACAATCTCCGGTGTGAAAAGCTTAGATCATTCTTGTGGCTTGCCTCATGCATTCACAGCTGGTGAAATGGGTGTACTTCTCATTTGCGTCGGGTAGCAATGGTGTGGGAGGTATCTTCACCAGGTTTGGTGTGAACCCAACCACCCGAGATGGCGTGCGGCACCTTGGTGCCGGGGTCTCACATGTCTCACCCTCCCTCCACACCGGACTATTTTCCCAAGTGCTCGGATCGGTTGGGCACATCCCTGTTAGCCGCTTCTTTCTTTACAGTAGATCAGATGGCACGCACACATGTGAAGGATTGAAGGCACACTTGTGCACGTCTTTGGCTTGGTAACCTGGTATCACCTAGACCATCGGCGAATGTGGCCGAAAGAGTGGTCAGACTAGAGACAGATCTGTCGACGGTACCTCGAATGCAGGTCTGTTAACGTCATTGATTTGTTCACTGATGGGAATCTGGTGCGTACTGAGGCTGTGCTGCTGGGCATGATGAGTTGGCAAACTGGGCTTGTCTGTCCAGTCACAGGCTGGCGTCTACACGTCCTTTGCTCTCTCCAATGACAATGACTTGTCTTGCTGGCAGAAAAGCACGGTCCAGTCTGGAAAGGCCTGCTACTTCGTCAAATAGCAGGTGCAGTCGATGTTGATTCGTGGCCATTGCTGATACACTGTTTCTCTGAGGTTCTGCAGATTTCCTTTTTTGGGCATAGAATGGCGAGGGGCAAGGGCAAGCACCTCTGATATGTGCAAATCAGGCATCGCAGTGAGTGCCCTCGTGACTGGCCCGAACTGATACACGGCCTGTCTTTCTCCTGTCCCACGTGGTTGCCCGGTGATGCGTGGCATCTTCGTATGCGTTTTGCGCCAATTGTCATGTCAGAGAGTGCGCCCAAAACACAATTGACTCGGACAGCGGCAACGACAGCGGCAACGACAGCGGCAACGACGATTGTACCGGCCTGCGTACGCATTGACTGTCATTGCTCTGCCAGAAGCCCAGGCTTCACCCGTCCATGGATGTTGGGCCAGCTTTGGGTCCAGGCAGCTCATGCCTGACGAAAGCCGGTACGTAGCGACCAAGTACCGGCAATGTCCTTGCTTGGGCGATCCTGTTTCCTGCTTCGCTCCCCGCTTGGGTACCGTTGTCGAGAGGAAGGGAAGGGGGCGTTCGCAAGGTCGTTTCAGCAATGCGATGGGGCAGCAGTGAACTGGTAGGAGTTGTATTTTAGCGTGCGAGATGCCCACCACCATCGGGGCGAAAAACCTTGGTTCGGTCAATCAACGGATCCTCAATCAGCACCCTAAACCCATCGCGGAACGGGCCATTTGCCGCCAGCAACGCCGCTGTACACCCCCACTAGATTAGCTGACAGCCCTAGCAAATATCTACTATCCAACCCGTCATTCAACGTCGAAATCCTGCCAGCCAGCCAGCCAGCTTGCGCAATTGTGCCGCCCTGCCTTGCTTGCAGTGAGTGACTCGACGTGCAGCAAAGCCACTCACCAGCCAGCCAGGATCATCATCAGCACCGTGCAGTTGTGCTGATTTGTGACTCTGCGTGTGTGAGTGGTAATTCGGCCTGGTGTGTTGTGTTTGCTTGTTTGCATTGCATCTGTGCAGTGCATCACCCACCAAGCCCACCCACACGCGGGCAGACCAGCCTGCTCTAGGCAGATCTGCACCACCACTGCCGCCCACCCCCCAAAAGCATAAAAACCCCAGATGCCTCCCCCACCCCCGAATCTGACCCTTCTTTTCTCTCCCTCCCCCCCAACACACAACCAAACAGGGTCGCAAAGGTATCATAGGAGTATCTCCAGCCATTCGTTCAAGAATCTCCCTGGGGTATTTCCTGCCCGGGCCCTTAGTCAATTTCTTTTGTGCGTCACTCACTCACCCGCACCCTCTTTTCCTCCGCGTTTGTTTTCTCCAGTCCTCTTCGCTCGTTCCGTCGCTCTCTACTTTTCCGTCCCGCGCGCCACGAGAGTCCGTGCCAACGAGCCCTTTCTTCTGCACCGTTTCCAAAGCTACCGCTCTCCCTGAACCCGAGCCTACGTCGACCGTAGGCACCCACGAGTTCATCGGAATCGACAAGCACACCGCAGGCAGCAACCATGTTCAAGCGGTCGTTCAGGTCCGGCAACAACACCGTCCCGGTGGCCGACCCGCAACACCGCGTGGACAAGTCTGCGAGGCTGACGAAGCGCAACGGTGGGAATGGCGGCACGGCCGGCTCCGTGCGGGATCCCGCGAAGCTGTCGAAGCTGCAACAGTCGCTCTCGGGCGTCGAGGAGGCCAAGCAACTGGGCCCAAGCCAAAAGTCCCTCGCGCCGTCGCCCATCGTGACCCTCACGATCGGCTCCGAGGGGCGGCTGTTTGCCGCGCACGAGGACGTCCTCTGCCAGAGCCCCTTCTTCGAGGCGCTCTGCAAGGGCCAGTACCTCGAGGCGCAGACGAAGAGGATCGCGTTGCCGGAGGAGGAACCGGAGGTCTTCTCGGCGGTCTTGGAGTACCTCTACAAGGGCGACTACTACCCGCGCTTGCTTCACAACAAGCACCGAAACTCTTGGGAACTCGAGGACTCCGACCCCCGCCAAACCCCGCACGCATCCCCCAACCTCACAGAAAACGGAGGTGGCCGCGCAGGCGCCTCCCCCTATGTACCCTCGGCTGTCGAAGCGACCGTCTACCTCGCCAGTGAGGGCCAGCATCTGCTGCGCGACACGGTCATCTACTGTGCCGCGGAGCGGTACGGGCTCGAGGAGCTCAAGCGCCTCGCCCTGCGCAAGCAGGGCCTGCAGAGCGGTATCGACGTCGGTACCATCCTGCGGAGCGCCCAGTACTGCTACGCCCACACGCCAGACTCCGACAGCCGCCTGCGCGCTCATTACCTGGCACTCATCATCCGCTGCCGCAAGACCTTCAAGAGGAGCGGCACCATGCAGGCCGAGATGGAGAGAGGTGGAGAGGGCGGCAAGTTGTTCTTCGACCTGTTCGTCGCCCTGTGCAACCACCTCGACGACGTCATTGAGGCGTCGAACGCTCGCACGCCCAAGACGATCTGAAAGGTCCAGCGTCGTCCGCGTCCGCGCCGCCGCTGGCTAGGGTCAATGCCCAGGCCGCGTCGCGACTGGTTTTCCCGGCGTCTGTGGCGTTAGATGTACCCGGATGGATGTACACGCAAAGCGGGTTTTCGAATTTTCGAATTGCTTTATCGAGGTTCCGGATCTACCTTGGATTTTTACAACATGGAAAGCGTCTCTTGGGTCTGAATTTTCGGCATTCTCGCTTGCAGCTCCCAAGGGTTCATCAGATTGGACATCACCATTTGGGAGACTTGATTTGCTTCTCTGTCCTCACTTCTCGCGAGGTTGGCCGACCATTTCTGATGATACTTCTTTGGGGAGTGAGAGGGGCTTAATATTTTGATCCGATACACGGGAGATCAATTCCAGGTAAAGACACAAGCCTGTCCCTCTGCTCTCTCGATGTTCTGCTCTGCTTTGTTTCTTTCCACGTCTAGCGATACCACCACTCACCTCGGGGCCATTTCAACTCAATTTTCCACAGCGTGGCGTTTTAGGAGCTTGGTTCTCTTAGAATATCACCTGAAAAAAAGGGGGGGACAAGTGGGAAGGCAATCCGTGCCGTCCTTCTTGGACACCGACAATGACAACACACCCCACCCCTCTCGACAAAAAAAACATCTCAACACATTCGTCCGGAAGTTTTTGTTTTTAATCCAGGCATCTGCTTTCGCTGGTCAACACGGATTTAGGGGCGCAAATTCTGCTTTTTCTGCGAAGAAGACTTAGACTGGGCTCCCAAACTCACAGAATGTTTATTCACGAAGACAGCAGCTGGAGGAAGAACAAGGGAACGACACCACACGGATCGACATCCAAACTCCTAATCAACAGGATTGGCGCGAACCTGTTATACCTTTGACAAGCAACCGAACAAAAACTTCCTTCGCTGCCGTACAATCTCCACTGATTACCTTTTCCTTTGTCTTTACAACAAAAAAAGAGCTAAAGCATGGAGAAAGTGCCGCATGTACAGCACTTTATTTACCTTTGGGGGCCTGCATGGTTGCTTTGCTATCGCGTTGGGGAAAACGGTCATGGAACACCACCCACACCACTCATTCGATATGACGCTGCGTGTGGACTCTTTGATGATGTTATGAAGATCTTGATTCGGGGCATTCTCTATTCTTTTTCCTTCTTCTAGTAAGGAGATTGAGGGGGATTGTCCCAAGGGGTCAGAGTAATCTGTCAGGTCTCCCTAGCGGATCGACCCCGTTTTGGCTCGACGCCCTTTTGAGGGGTCTGGTAATGAGAGAATCGGCCACCTCAAAAAAAGTCCTCCTTGTGACTGCATCGTGCTGATATGTCTGTGTATGTATGTGCGTGTGTGTATGATACGGGTGTGGCCTCTCTGCTGCGCTGGGTGCATCTGACCCTTGATCTTGCTATGCTCCCGTCATGTCCATCCACCGGCCTCCTGGACCAAGTCATCGTCGCTACGCCCACTGGACGTCAAACTCGCGGAACTCGACGCTCAGCTCGTCCGTGGTGGCCTTGGCCTCGGGCCGCGCGGCCATGGCCTCGACGCTCAGATCCCACTCCTCCTGCTTGGCGGCCACCCAACAGATCTCGCGCAGGGGCACCTTCTGGGCGTCCCCCTCGCCGGACCCGAGGAGGACCTGGTAGACCCAGAAGCTGCGGCCCTTGTCGTCGCCCTCGGCCACGACCTCGATCGTGACGCCCTCGGCCGTCGTGGCCCCGGGCGTCCCGCTGAGCGGCGCGACGGACCAGTCGGCCCAGCCGTCGCAGGCGACGGTGCTGACGAGCGGCTTGGCGTAGTAGTACTCCACGCCCGTCTTGATCCACTTCTCGGGCTTGCTACCACTGCTGGCGGCGGATGTGGATGTGGAAGCGCCGCCGCCGCCGCGCCGCCGTAGGGAGAGCAGCAGGCCTGCTTGGTCGTACTGCTGCGAGGGGGAGAAGGAGAAGGTCGCGCGGGCGGAGCGGAAGGACGAGAGGGGGCCTGTCGTGCGGGGGGGGGAGTGGCCTGCGGGGATGGCGGTCGGGGCTGTTTTGCGTGTTGGCGGGGTGGTTAGTTAGTTGCCCGAGTAAACCTAGCTTGTGTGTTTTGTTTGTTTTGGGAGAAGAAATAAGGGAAGAGATGGGGGGGATGGGCATTGAGTCTTTCTTACCGTTGAAGACGTCGGTCGTGGGCGGCTTGCGCCAGATGTCGGTGTTGGGAGCGGCTTTGATTGTGAAGGCGGACATGATGTTTTTTGTTTCTTGGGAGGATTGTTGATTTTCTTTTGAGTTTTTGTTTGTACAGTTTTGTTCGTGTTCTCCTCTGCTTGATTGACTCAATGCATGCGATTGTATTTACAGACGAGTTTTGTTTCGGTATTCCAAGGGCTGGTGTCAATTTATATCGTTTTTGCGCATCCCACCTGAACTTCATGAGCGAGGTTGATGTCGGAGTTGGCCCATGCCAAGTGTCGGAGGCGCAGCTCTAGGGCGGGGTACCGTCACGTAAGAGCGGGGTAGATTCGTACCTTTTGCTGTCAAATCCCTTCCTGTGCCGTGTCCATGAGCATCTCATTGATGGCAACCAACTGGACTGAAAAGGAATCCCCGACGGGTGTGATTGTAAATGCATTCAACTCGGTGGAGGATTTGATTCGAAATCGATGGCGTTTACTGTGGTCTGAGCTCCGACAGGAGAGTGGACAAAGCCTGGCGGAGTTGCCGTTTTGGGACGGGGCGTGTTGGATTAGTCAGATAGCTCTTCCGGTACTGCTGGCCGCGCGAACAGCTCAGTGAATTAGGACTCTTAAGTAATCAAGAGACAAGGACGAATTTGATAGTGTTAATATGGAATTAAAAATGACAAGGCAGTTGCAAAATTGAAGTTCCCTGGAGTCCCAATCATCTTCCCACAGATGAGATGGAGCTTACCGGCAGGAATGAAAGCAGATACATCGGAAACAGATGCTGACTGGTGGAATCCAAGCATAAATGTTGATGTCAAGCATAAATTTGTAGAATTACTCTTACCATTGACTTACACAAGTGTATAGCTGACCACAAATACTGGGTTGCCGAGAGAAACAGACCAGTGACCAACTCTGCTTTGCCTGCTCTGGTATAGGTCTCAAGCTTCTGAGAATAACTGTCCGAACGTATTGGCAAGAGAACTTCTGTCTGATACCAGGCTCGTGAAGCAGTCCCTATCCCATCACGCCCACAATCTGGAAGAACCTGTGGACGTGGAAATCTTCCAGGCTTTTATACTTGCAGAACCCGACTCACTGACCACCTCGATCCCGACTGGAAGGATTACAGTGCTGATGAAGATCATGGCCAAGCAACTGTCACTCACCCTTCGCTAGGCCGTCCATCCATAGGTACCATGTGTCTTCCATGTCTGACCAGCTCCAGGATCTACTGGCTGCATGGACGATCCGTTTGGTATAATTACTCCTCCACATTTTTTTTTCGAATAGGGGCTTCATTTAACCATCACGGCTACATTTTCACCAACATTAAAGTCTCAAGCACTTCATCACGACCAGTTGTCATGACAAGGCGTAAAACAAACCGAAAGATTCAGTGATCTTGATCATCTTTACGGGAGGATGGCACTCATCTCGGAATCGACGACGATGTTCAAGGTGTCCATATCATATCCCAGCCATCTTGGAGCAGCCAGCTGAGTGTGGAATTAGTTCGGCAAGTTCGGCGAGGTATCCGATGGAGGTAAATCAACCTAATCTGCTGCTCTTGTTTACTCAGATGAAGATGGCCCGAACAGTGGGCTGGGGCCAGCCCTCGAGATGACTGACGAGAGCCGGCTGAGCCTGACGCATGTCCCAACTGACAACATGGTTGCTGGCGATCGCAACATCGTGGGGATCAACATTGGGGACACCAAGCTTTGGAATGGGTAGGCACCAGGGTCAGTCTGGCGGTCAAGATCACAGATGCAAAAGTACAGTACGTGCAGTAACTATGGAGCATGATGTCAGACACTCAGGGTCAGAGCGAGACGAGTTCAAGGCCCCCCTGATCTGATGAATAAGAGGTCGGGATTACGCCGAGATTGGGAGATGATCCCTCACGCTGGAATGACAAGATTGAACCGTCTTTGAGTCCCTGCACCCTACTTGTAGATGAGGTGACAAGGATGAAGTATCCGTGCGAGCACCAAATAGCGTGGCCTGTTCGTTGCACTCTATTTGCTGAAGAACAACCACAAGACGCAACCGCGAGAACCACGAGGCATTCAGATGCGATTGCGATGATCATCCTGGGGGCGTCTTGGTAACGCTACACAAAGCATTGTTCGGCGAAACATTGCGTCTTTGTTTTTCGCCGTACTGCCTCCGCCCCCATAGCTTCAATATTGAGTTGACTGTTGCGAGGCGGCATCAAGGCCACGAACCCAAGGAACCCCACAGGCACACAGGTGAGCCAAATTTGGGGCTACTTCGTATGGGGTAATGAATGGCTCTTTTCTGGAGTTGGTGCGCTAAGGGCGCATTCCCCTTACCATCACTAACTGCTGCTAGCCGCTCGACAAATGAGACAGGGCTGATCGTCAAAACACCAAAGAAGAAAGGAGGGGAGGTTTCTGAGCTTGCTGAGCAAAGCGGGAATTGCCGTTCAAGCCGCCCAATGGAGTTGCAGTGTGCTGCAGGGCACCACGAGGAGGGAGGCCGACACGTTGAGGCCGCGCTTGGCCAGGTGCGGGCAATGATCGTCGAGAGGGATGACATACCCTGGCCCAAGCCCCTGCTGATCATTCTCCAGGGTTTGACAGAGGCAGTGAGAGTGAGGGCCGCTGACCACCACCACCTCGGGGCCAATTTCTGGCTTTTGCTCCTTTTCCCGGCATAACGTTTGAGGTTGTGTGTGCCAATCCCGACTTCACGCTTTGCCATTCTCTGCATTATCATGATACTAGGGCAGGAATTGCACTAGTCTCTAGTCCAAACGGTGCTGGAATGGCGCATCGTCTTGGGTGAATCATCAGAGACACTCTAGGACAGCGAAAGCAATCTGCGGCCACTTGGTGACTGGTGAAGACGTCACAGCCAAGACCCGGAGCCGTTCGCCCAGAGGGCTACCTAATAAGTGGCGTGCAACTGCCGCCGCCATTTCCGCGTGGGTTCGTGGGCGCCACTTTGTGGGGGAGGGAGAACAATGGCGTTGAACGGCAGCATTCTTGCACAAGAAAGCACCACTGAGTACCAGCAGCTTTGTCCAGGTTGGGCCGTCAACAGGACCAGGACCCTGGCCGGCCACACATTCCAAGCTCGCCAGGGTGCAGGCCTGAAACAGACAGCGGTAGCTAGGCCCATCCGGGCTGCTGGGAAAGCCTGTTTGGCCCATGTACACATCCAAGACACCGAGCCATGGTGCAGGGCCCGTTCAATTGCGATCGGCCCTCGCCATACCTGCGGGCCTGAATCAGGCATGGGGGAAAGGGACGGGCATTCGTGCACCGCTCACGCGAACCCACGACACGAGACGAGCGATCGTCGCCCGTCATTGCTCGTTCAGTCGCTGCCAGACAGGAGCTTGCATGGTTTGGGCGTGGCAGCGTGGTTGATCCATATCACACGGGATGCCAGTCGACCCTGGAGCTCGAGCCTGGAGATCACTTCTGGGGCTGTTCACAACGCTAATTGAGGAAGGAAAAGAGGTTCTCGATGGGGTCGTTGGAGACTCTCTAACATTGCGATGATGACATTGTAATCAAGCGCACTGTTGTCTGGGTCCAAGCACCCAAGCATCTCCCTCCCCCCCGTCCGGGCGGCCGTCAACCCACGCACCCTTTTCCGATACAGATCCGGACGCATCCTGCAGGTATATATCCCTGGACAACCTCCTCGAGAGGTCCAGGAAAGATCTCTCTCTCCTCCTCATCCTTCACAGCTCTCTGCCAAGAAGTTACCGCTCTCGCCAGTCGTTCTTTTCAACCAGTCCAACTCAGTCACTCCCTTGTATTTTCACAGTGCTCCATTTCCGGCCGTCACTAATTTAATTTGATACCCAAATTCTCTCCTAAATCACACACAAACCAAATCAGTCAAGATGCGTTTCTCTACCGTCCTCGCTGCTGCTGTCAGCTTCACCTCGGCCCTCGCCGCCCCCGTTGCCTCGGCCAAGCGCGACCTGAGCGTCTCCGCCGTCCTCGACCTCGTCTCCGGCCTCAAGTCCACCGTCGAGTCTGACCTGAAGGCAGTCAGTAAGTAGCACCCTAACCAGGAAAGATTCCCATCCGCATCCCCCCGCAGGCGGCTAACCCTGTGCTTTCAGCCGCCGCCGTCAACGTCGAGGCCGGTGTCTCGGTCGACGTCAACGCCGTCCAGACCACCCTGGCCCACGTCGTCTCCGAGGTCCAGGGCGTCGTCGGCAAGGTCACCCCCGTCGTCACGGGCGTCGCCCTGCCCCTCGCCGAGGGCGAGATCAAGCAGGTCCTGACCCTCGTCGGCGAGGTCCAGGACATCGTCGGCGAGATCAAGAGCACCGTCGAGGGTGTCGCCGGCTCCGTCGCCGGTGACGTCCTGGCCACCCTGCAGCCCGTCCTCGCCAACGTCCTCCAGGTCGTCGGCACCCTGACCGCCCCCATCCTCGGCCTCGCCTTCTCCGTCGTCGGCACCGTCACCGGCACCGCCACCCCCGTCGTCGGCCAGCTCCTGAGCACCGCCAACGGCCTCCGCGGCCTCGTCGGCGGCATCCTGGCCCCCGTCGGCGGTATCCTCGGCGGTATCCTGGGCGCCACCCCCCTCGGCGGTGCTCTGTAAATGACAAGTCTCGCCAAGTCATCACAGAAGTCCGATGAGAGAAAGAATTAACGACTCCTTCGATTCCGTGACCCCTTTGGGGAAGTTTTGTTGGACACAAGCGAAGCGATTCTTTTTGTATGAAAGGAGGAGCACCCAGGGGTTTACCGACACACGCAGGCAATGAAAGGAGATAGATTCTCTCGAAGGCGGTTTCGTCTTTTCGATTCTGGAGTATAGAAAAAGGTGTTTTATTAAATCATGACGCCATGACCCAATGGACGTGCTTTTTCCACCTTGCCATGAATGTCTAATTATTAATTACATCTTCAACACTTGATTCCCATGGTTCGTTTTGTGGACTGTGTTACCCATCGCAAAAAACTGGTCCTAGGACCTTCGTATCCCACAGAATTATCCACCTTTCTGGTAGAAGATGTTCTCCTGAACGGGATCTCCTAACCTTGGCGTTTCGAGGAGTCATGGGGAAGCTCAGATGTACAATGCCCGAGAGTATATATACCTGATTTCTTGTAAAAATATATGTTCCCTGATTCCAAGGTGTCATAAGATACCGGAGCGCCGAACTGTGTTGCCGAGTAAGGGGCCCCTTTCTGTCAGGTAGGGAAGGATTACATGCCTGGTCTCATAACAACGTGACCCAGTTTGGGACTATGGCTTAACTACAAGTGGCTCCAATTCTCGCTAGACCATAAACCCTTCACCAAGGAATCAAATTCGGTACCAACGGATATTCTACACCGTCGATCACCTCTGTAGCGTAGGCATTGTAGGCCATCCCATCGCCATCTTCTCTCTTCCAGATAGCCCCGCAGTCACCAGGCACGTATTGAGCAACGTCCATCTGCAAGATCAGCTTGATCTCGGGACAATAGTTCCACATGTGAGCACGGAGCTGCGGTGTGCCCCAGATCGCGCCGTGGAGGGTCGTACCGCTGGCGCCCGTGTGGAATCCCATCGGTTCGTAGAAGCCCTCGCGCCAGTCGTCGATGCCCTCAATCCACCCCTCGGAGTTCTCCCCGTCGCTCCCCTTGAACCAATGAGCAATGGTTTCTTTCTGACCCGAGTGCATCTCGCCCGAGAACGTGGACGAGAGTCGGCCGTTGGCCATCCTCGCACCCGGACGCTCGTTCAGGGCATTCGAGAGGAAGACATCCTCGGGAGGGCCTCCGTGAGGACGGCTGTTGTTTCGCAGCACCTCGATGATGGAGCTGACCCTACGCAGCGATAAACCTCCATTACCGCCAAAGGAAGCTTTTAAATTCCACGGCGCTCCGACCCAATCGTATCCGAGATAGTCGTTTAGGTTGCTTTTGCTGTTTGCGCACAGCATGCTGTCCGTCTGAAACACGAGCAGCCACTCGGCAGGCTGCAGAAGGGTCTCGTAGACCCATGACTGGGTGAAGAAGCGGTTGATCTCCTCTTGGGACCCGGTCGTTTGGTTGGCCGGTATGAAGGTGAGATCGAGCTTGCCGGCAGAGACCTGCTCTCGAATCGCGGCGCTGCGGTTGATATGCGCCACACTTTCGTCTGAGCCCATGAATCGGAAGCGCCATTCCGGTGGCACAACGCTGGTAAAATGCAGCATCAAGGGGGCTAGATTCGGTAGCGGTCTTTGCTCGATCAGCAGTGCGACTTTGTGTTTGTTTAGCCTCGTGTTTGCATCGATTCGATCCGACGTGCTGTGTGGATTCCAGTCGTCTATTCGATAGAAGGCAATCATAGACACTATTAACCTATATCACCGCAGTTAGTTTGTAAATGATTTGCCTATTCAAGAGCGGTCTATCAACCAGGTGTGCCATGGTGAACATACATCAAAGTGCCTGCGCTTCCAACGAAGCATAACCATCGGCTAATGCGCGGCAGAGGCAAGTACGCCATCACCCCGGCTGTATGACAGCAATAAAAGGTGACTTTTTTAGGGTAGGCTCGAGTGATAGAGTAAACTGAGTCCGAAGACGAGCAAGTCTTGTAGGATCGCGGTTTGTCGATTCGGTATCCGACGGATGGGGGCCAGACTTATCCAGTCGCCAACTGGCAGAAGAGAATTTTCAGAAGGACATTGCTCATTGTTGAAAGGATCACGGAGCCTGAGCCCATTATGCTTAAGTAGCATCCAAAGAATGTCAGTTTAAATCAAGGGTGTTGTCTACGGCAGCCCTGTCGGCGGCAAGTCAATCCCTTCTCCTATTTTCTCTTGGCGTAGACTTGGAACACAATTGCAAGAACACCCTCACCTATCCTGCTCTCGGGAGGTGCGCCGTAACATCGCAGATATGAATGTACTTCCAGGCAGCAACTTTTGCTTGAAGTTTTCACTGAGGGCCACGCGTCTCGATAATTGTGCACAGAAACTGCCAATTAGACCAAACCGCATGTTTCAGCTCCCAAAATACGAGTTTGAAATCCTGCAGTCCACATCCTGGATACTGTGGAGCCCACGCAGACGTTGATCTTGGCTAAAAATGTCATTGAAGAACACGGAGAGGCCAGAAGTAGAAGTCAATATGGTCTGAAGTCTATGCTCGATATTGACGGGGGGTTTTTTATTGCGGAAGTCGGAACCTCTAAGCTGATCGATTCTGCCTTCAGATCGCTTGATGAACTTCTTCTCACAGACTTGTCGGAGCCACTGATAGCTCGTCTTGTTCAAGGACCATGATATCCTCCTAGATAGATCGCATATGATGTTCCATACAGTCCTCAAAGATTTGCATGAGATAGTAGCTGGGCACAGGTCCGTGCCTAAGTTTCTGTTCTTGGAGAGGTTTAAGTACTTGGACTTGGATGACTGTCTCGCTCACCTTCTGCGTAGCAGACGAGGCTCTTTGTATATAAGTCGTCTCTAAAAGAATTATTTCTTATAATAGAAGAAATGCTTACTCCATATGATAATATCAAGCCTTGGATTGTAACGAGAGCATTTCACCATCGCTGGCGTCTGATCACGTGAGCAAATCTGAGTCACACGGCAAAAATATGAAAAATATTGGTCTTGGGGTGGCTTGAACCAAAGGTGAGACGCGCCTAAGGAATGAATTAAAAAAAAGGACCCCGCTACTCGACCACACAACCGCTGCGCCAAACCCCTCCGCCCACAAAAATTTCTCGCAGTCCTCGTCGCCGCCAGTATCCTCACCTGCCACTCTCTACACCACACCCACACTCACACTTCATCACCCAATGGGATAATACACTTCGCAGCCCTCTCGACTATCATCGAACCTGTCTTCTCGGCTTGCTGTCGTTGATCATACGACCGGATTGACCCTCACAGACGTCGTCTCTCGGGTCGCAACCCCTTCGCCACCAGCAGAGAGGCGTGTCGAGGGTCGCCCAGGCACGTCCGCGCTTTTTGCCTGTCGGCTCCACAGTCTTCAGCGATCAACCAGACGCACCCTTATACCAGCACGACATCCAGGACGCTGTTACCATGTCGTCCATGACCAAGCTTCCGAAGAAGCCCTTCCAGATCAAGCCCAAGGCTTCTCGGATCAACCCCATCAAGGCCATCCAGGACCGAGAATGGAACCGCAAGCGCCAGGCAGAGGCCCAAGCCCGCGCTGCCGCGGCCGCCACGCCGCCGCCCACTGCCGGCGGTAACTCGGGCTGTCCTAATCCCAACTGTAAAAATCCAAATGTCATCGACGGTGTTTGTCGTACTTGCGGTCGTGTCACAGATGACAGCAACATTGTTTCCGAGGTCACCTTCGGCGAGAACTCCCAGGGAGGAGCTGTCGTCCAGGGTAGCTTTTTGGGAGCCGACCAGGGTACTGTGCGTGGCATGGCTGGTATTGGATCTCGCCGCGTCGCTGGCCACGGCTCTGGAGAGTCGCGAGAGCGAACTCTCCGCGAGGCCCGGCAGATGATGTCGGGCTTTGCTCACCAACTCAACATTCCCGAACATGTCGTCAGCAACGGCCACCAGATCTACAAGCTCGCCAGCGGCAAAAACTTTGTGCAGGGACGCAGGATTCCCAATGTCGTCGCCGTCTCCCTCTACGCTGCTTGTAGAAAGGAGAGCCCCTGCAAGATCATGCTGATTGACCTGGCGGATATCGTCAAGGAGGAGGTCTTCTACCTGGGTCGCACCTACAAGAAGCTGCTCTCGGTCATCGAGGCCAAGATGGACCAGCACCCCATCTACGTGGAGGACCTGATCTTCCGCTTCGCGTCCAAGCTCGAGTTTGACACACTTACCAACAAAGTAGCCGAGACTGCTGTCCGGCTGGTGCAGCGAATGGACCGTGACTGGATGGTTATGGGCCGCCGTCCTGCAGGCATTTGCGGTGCCTGCCTGATCATGGCGGCACGTATGTACAACTTTAGGCGTACTCCAAGAGAGGTCGTCTACATTGCCAAGATCACCATGGCCACGCTGCAGCAGCGCCTCGACGAGTTCAGAGAGCTCCCGTCGGCGCGGATGACGGTCGAGGACTTCCTGAGCCAGGACTTTCTCTCTGAGGAATATGATCCACCTTCTATCTACAAGAAGAGCGAGGAATACCAGGCCCGGCTCAAGGAGAAGCGTCGAGCTATGAAGCGGAAGCGCCAAGCCGAGGAGGCAGCTGAGGCTTCCAGCCAGTCTGCTCCCACTCCGGCTCCCCCACTACGAACAGACGCGGATGGATTCGCCATCCCCCCACCACCGCAAGCAACCGCCCAAGCCCAACAAGCTAACATCATTGAGCGGGCGGGCACTACCACTGACGAGGACCTGGAGGCACTCGCTGCAGAGTATGGCGATAAGAACGCCACAACAGGAGTGGACGGTAACGACGATGACGATGCGCCTGATACACCGAGCGCCAGTCCTGACTCACCAGCATCATCCACCAGCGAACGCCCCGCCAAGCGGCGCAAAGGCCCCCAAGGCTCGTCCTGCCGCACCCAGCCGGCCAGCAAAACCCCAAGTGTCAAGCCCGTCTACATGGACGAGGCCTGGGAGGAGGACGAGGACATCCTCGAGATGGAGATCACCGAGGCCATCAACGACCAGAACACGGAGGAGCACGCCAAGGCGTTCGCCAGCGCCAAGGAGCAGGTGCAGCGCATCATGCAGAACATCCACCCGCCCGACGCCGCGGACGCCTCGGCGGCCTCGGCGCTCGACAACGCGGTGGTGGGCGAGGACGAGTTCGCCGACGACCCGGAGGTGCAGAACTGCCTGCTCTCCAAGGAGGAGCAGGAGATCAAGTCGCGCATCTGGCTCAACGAGAACAAGGACTGGCTGCGCCACCAGCAGGAGAAGATCTTCCGGCAGAAGCTGGCGGCCAACGGCCCGCCCAAGCAGCGGCGCAACCGCGTGCGCAAGCCGCGCATCGGCGAGGGCCAGGCGTCGCCCGCCTCGACGGCGGGCGAGGCGGCCATGGACGCCATGGAGCGCCGCGGGTTCTCGAAGCGCATCAACTACGACGCCATCGCGTCGATGCTGCACAGCTCGCGCCGGGCCGGGCCGGGCTCCGTCGCGGCGAGCGAGTACACCAGCCGCCAGTCCAGCCGGGCCGGCAGCGTTGCGGGCAGTGCCGCCGGCGACGAGCCTGCTGATGACGAGAGCGAGGCGGGATACGACGAGGAGGAGGAGGCTCCTGGTGAGGATAGGGATCCGTTTGCGGACTCTGACGGCGGAGGTGGCTCGGATGAGGAGTGATCGTGACGAAAGGCGTCGACAGGGGCGTGCCATCAGCGCATTGTACAGCATGAGCATTCTTAGGGTGTTATTCGGAGTCTTCTGCTTGTGCACTTCCGGGACGGAACTTGATGCACGGGTACTGGAGCATAGGACGGCGTTGTCCCCTTGGGCAGACCGGATCGTTCGTCCCTGTCATACGGAAGGGGAAAATAAAAGACTACGAAGAGATCGGGATGTATTATGGAACTGTACTTATATCCATATCAGCAAAGGCCTTGCCGGTCGATGCCTCGGAGAGATTGTCTATCCCTCTCCACAATTGATGGGAGTTTCTACGATACTGGTGGCTGTGAACTACGATGTTGGTGATAGAACCTATCGTTGCATTTCATGCATGCCACAATAATTGCCAACATGTACTTGTATTCCTTTCTTTGAAGACCATGCCAATGAGCCAAGGCCACTAACGATGCAGGGCGCGGTGCTGGAGATTGAGCCTATTTCGACAATCCCTTTCGCGAGCCAGGCCAGGGGGAGGTGAGGCGCGACAGCGTATCGGGGCCGCCACGTGGAGCCCTCGAGTCGTTGGTACAGTGAAAGGGTTCATTCAGCCTCAGCCCATTGGCGAGAGGTCAGTCAGTGCATGCACACAGCTGTACCTTGTACCCAACCCAACACGAGGAGCTCTTAGTGGTCAGAGCAGCTTGACGTAGTCACCGTGGCGCTGCAAGCTCTCCAGCGTTCTCTTTTGCATTGATCGACAGTTTCCGACCGAGAGGGGTGGCAGTGGGGACGGGAGATGGCTTGACGGCGTGCTTGGCTGAGTCGCCAGTGGCCGAATATCGCTACATCTTCCGCTGGAGACGCCACCTGGGTGAGTTGACGCGTGTTGCGAACTGCGCCAAACCCGCTGTAACTTGTAACCAACCCCGCTAAAAGTGCCGTCGATGAACAGCCCTGAGGACGCCAGCCAGTGGCTGTACCTGGATTGGATTGAGTTGGGAATCCCGTACGATTCTGTCTCACCTCGGAAGGTATGGAGTTTTCTCTGCAGAACGAACGAGGTGCATTTACTTACTAAGGAGACGCTGCTATTCATAGAACTGCTGTCCCGCGGCTCTTCGTTTGTTCACTTTCTCCCGAGCGAGAAGGACTGTCAATCAGCGGCTTGATCTTGGTTAGGTACCTAGTTATGGATGTAGTCGTCGATGTTGTAGTGTTTTCATCATCATCCATGCACGGAATACGCCCCGGTCAAAGGCGCAGGACAGGGGATGGAAAGCAGGTTTTCAACATTGACCTTGGCAAGCGTCAGGCCAGGCACTCCTTATTCGTGCGATGGCGCCTGGCGATGGAGCACACTGTCCGTGTGTGTGTGGAGGGGGGCTCAATGGACAGCCCGTTGCAATACGGGCCTTTCTCTCCACCCCCCCGGTCCACTGTACACCTCCGCGTCCAGCTAGGACGCTGGATGCTTTGCATTGCCTCCACCTCTCCCCGATTCATCCTTTTTTTCGCGAGGGGGGATGGATCTGTCAGTGCCTTTTCTTGTCTGCTGGTGCCTCGTGTGATGTGTGATTGATTGTTTGACTTTCCTCTTCCAAGTCCCCAGCATTGTTCTGCATCTTCAGAGCCTCTCTAGAGATTCGTCTCGAGGCAGTCCATTCGCTCTTCTGCCCGTTCTCATCATCCATCACTCGCTAAGTTCTGTCTTGATTTGATCCCAGGCCAGGCTGTTGCCCTTGTTCGGCCAAGGTCCGCGAGTCGCACCAATATATCGGACGCTCCATATCGCCAAGCACGCCGCCCAGCACGGTTGCGACCAAACCAAGGGACGATCGAAACGGGGACACGCAACGCTTCCCGGCGCGCGCCCTTTTCAACTCTGTCTTTGTGCTCGTTGTGTATAGCCTTTGACTTTACTTTCTTTGCCATTGACGTACTCCGTACATATCTGCTTCAAAGAAACCCAACCAAACCTCGTCGCGGACCTAGGAAGCTCTCCCGCCTCGAGGAATGCGGCCGACTGCGAATTCGACTTGCTAGGGTCCCGCGGCAGCAATGCATGACCTCAGCGGCGGTATCTCCAGCGCGGATCAACCCCCGGACGAGAAGCTGGCCGCCGCGCAGCAGCACAGCGGCAAGACGAGCAACAAGTCCGGCCATGCGCCCGCCGTCTCTCGCCGCGTCGAGGCCGCGCGCAAAGTCCACGATGCCGCCCGCGACCTCTACAAGCGCGTCGTCCTCGAGCTGATCCTGCGCCAGAAGCCGCTCAAGCCCTCCAAGGACGGCCGCCGCATCCCTCTGCAGCCGGGGCGGGCCCCCCTGCACGACGAGCGCCGCGGCGGCCCCTACATCTCCAACACCATCCGTACCTCCCGCTACACCGTCTGGGACTTTGTCCCCAAGCAGCTGTTCTTCCAGTTCACCCGCCTCGCCAACTTTTACTTCCTGTGCATCGGCATCCCGCAGATGATCCCCGGCCTGAGCACGACGGGAAACTATACTACGATCGTGCCGCTGCTCCTGTTCGTGACCCTTACGATCGCGAAGGAGGGCTACGATGACTACCGGAGAGCCAGGCTGGACAAGGTGGAGAACGCGAGGCTGGCGACTATCCTGAGGTCGCCCCAGGAGCTGGCTGCCAGACCGGCGATACAACCACGGAAGTGGCGACTGCCGTTTTTGCCCAAGAAAGAGGTGGAAGAGGTGCCACTGCACCAGGAGGAGTCTACTTGCGGCCTGCAGTGGGCGCATGTCCCATGGCGGGACATCAGGGTGGGAGATGTCATCCGGCTGACGCGCGACGAGGATGTGCCGTCCGACATCATCCTGCTGCACGCCGACGGCGAGAACGACATGGCCTACATCGAGACCATGGCCCTCGACGGCGAGACAAACCTCAAGAGCAAGCAGGTCTCGTCAGCGCTGAAGGACTGCACCACCATTGACAGCCTCCATGCGTGCCGGGCCGAGTTCGTCCTCGAGGACCCGAACCCGGACCTGTACCGCTTCGACGGCAAGGTCACCTGCGACGGCAAGACCCTGCCCCTCACCTTGACCGAGGTCATCTACCGCGGCAGCACCCTGCGCAACACGCCTTGCGCCGTCGGGATCGTCATCAACACGGGCGAGGAGTGCAAGATCCGTCTCAACGCCAACCGCCACCCGCGCGCCAAGAAGCCGCACCTCGAGCGCGTCATGAACCGCATCGTCATCACCCTCGCCCTCTACGTCATCCTGCTGACCCTCGGCTGCTCGCTGGGCTACCTCTTCTGGCAAAAGTCCACCGAGGACAAGCTGTGGTTCCTCATGGGCGACAGCGTCGCCGCCCAGGAGATCATCATCGGCTACGCCATCCAGTTCAACAACATCATCCCGCTCGCGCTCTACATCAGTCTCGAGATCGTGCGCCTCGGGCAGATGTACCTGCTGAGCAGCGACATCGGCATGTACGACGAGGTCTCCGACACGCCGGCTAAGTGCAACACCAACACGATCCTCGAGGACCTGGGCCAGATCGGGTACGTCTTCTCCGACAAGACGGGGACGCTGACGGAGAACGTGATGAAGTTCCGCAAGCTGAGCATTGCCGGCACGTCGTGGCTGCACGAGAAGGATATGCAGATCGAAGACAGCGTGGTCCCTGCCGTAGGTGAGAACGCGCCCGGTGTCCGGTCGGCTCTTTCGCCCACCTCGCCAACCACACCGGGAGAACGGCGGAGCATCGCCATCCCCGAGGACTTAGAGCTGCCCACAGACATGCCCATGTCGCCCACCTCCGTCCAGACCGGCCGGCGATCCTCGTCACACTGGCGCTCCGCTGCCCGGCCGGATCATGTGCAGCCTGATCTGACGACGGATGACCTGCTCGAGTTCATCCGGCTGCGGCCGCACTCGCCGTTCGCCAAGAAGGCCCTCGAGTACATCCTCGCCATGGCCCTGTGCCACACCTGCCTCCCCGAGATCAAGGACGGCAAGATCGACTTCCAGGCCTCCTCGCCCGACGAGCTCGCCCTCGTCAAGGCCGCCCAGGAGCTTGGCTTTCTTGTCGTCCAGCGCTCGGCCCACTCGACGACGCTGCGCGTGACCGTCGGCCCCGCCGCCGATGAGGTCTACGAGATCCTCGACGTGATCGAGTTCAGCAGCAAGCGCAAGCGCATGTCCATCATCGTGCGCCGGCCCGACGGCCGCCTGTGGCTCATCTGCAAGGGCGCCGACTCGATGATCCTGCCGCGCCTCAAGATGGCGCACCTGGCCATCCAGAAGGCGACCGAGGTGCGCAAGAGCGCCGACATGGAGCGCGAGATGCTGCGGCGCAGCGAGCACCGCGAGTCGCGGAGCAGCTTTGGCGGCAGGGCGAGCCTGACGCTGCGCCGGAGCCTGGCGCTGGATAGCATCCCGCCCGGCAAGAGGCCCGCCCTGACGACGCGGAGCCAGTCCTTCGAGACGAGCAAGCTGCGCGCGTCGGGAGACCTGAGGAGGCCTGCGCTGATCACGCGAGGCCTGTCCTTTGACGTCTCGCCTTCGAGGCAGCCCAACACCCCGACCGGCGCGCAGGCGCTGCCCGACAAGTTTTCGTTCCTCAACGACGCGTCGCTGCTGGACGAGGGCGCCATCTACACGCAGTGCTTCAAGCACCTCGACGACTTTGCCAGCGAGGGCCTGCGCACGCTGCTCTTTGCGCAGCGCTTCCTGCCCGAGACCGAGTACCAGGCCTGGCGCAAGCTGTACCACGACGCGACCATCAGCCTGACGGACCGCGACGAGCGCATTGAGGCCGTGGGCGAGATGATCGAGCAGAACCTGGACCTGGTGGGCGCGTCGGCCATCGAGGACAAGCTGCAGAAGGGCGTGCCGCAGGCGATCGACAAGCTGCGCCGCGCCAACATCAAGATCTGGATGCTGACGGGCGACAAGCGCGAGACGGCCATCAACATCGCGCACTCGGCGCGCATCTGCAAGCCGCACTCGGACATCTTCATCCTGGACGCGACCAAGGGCGACCTCGAGGCGCAGCTGCTGGGCGTCGTCGAGGAGCTGCAGCTGCAGCTCGAGACGGGCTCGCTGTCGCCGGGCGGGCCCGGCAGCCACCACACGGTCGTCTGCGTCGACGGGCACACCCTCGGCGCCATCGAGGCGTCGCCCTCGGACGCCCTGCGCACCCTCTTCTACGAGCTCATCCCGACCATCGACTCGGTCATCTGCTGCCGCGCCTCGCCGGCGCAAAAGGCCCTGCTCGTGCGCACCATCCGCCAGACACCGCGGCTCGCGGCCCGCGGCGGCAACCCGGGGCTCACGCTGGCCATCGGCGACGGCGCCAACGACCTGGCCATGATCGCCGAGGCGCACGTCGGCATCGGCATCTCGGGCAAGGAGGGCTTGCAGGCGGCGCGCGTGGCCGACTTTAGCGTCTCGCAGTTCCGCTTCCTGTCGCGGCTGCTGCTCGTGCACGGGCGCTGGAACTACGCGCGCACGGCCAAGTTCGTGCTGGCGACCTTTTGGAAGGAGATGTTCTTCTACACGGGCACCGTGGCCTACCAGCGCTACAACGGCTACACGGGCACGTCGCTGTACGAGAGCTGGAGCCTGACGGTGCTCAACACGCTCTTCACGAGCCTGTGCAACATCGTCCCGGGCATGTTCGAGAAGGAGCTCGGCGCCGAGACGCTGCTGGCCGTGCCGGAGCTGTACGCCTACGGGCAGCGGGGGCGGGCGCTCGACACGTGGCGGTACGCCGGGTGGATGCTGGGCGCCGTGGCCGAGGGCGTCGTCGTCTGGTTCGCGTGCTGGGCCGGGCTCGGCGTGTTTGGGCAGACGGGCCGCGGCGACGGCGGGCTGTTTGCGCTGGGCGACCTGGTGTTTAGCATCAACATCATGTGGACCAACTACAAGCTGCTGTGAGTATATATGCCCCCCCCC